TACTTGCTTTTAAACTGGTTTCTGACGAACAAGGAGCTTCCCCACCGATATACCGGCCGTTCATAATTGAATAGTTAAAATTTCTCTGCTTTTTCCATTCGGTTTTAATAATGTTGCTACAGCCCGGACATACCGGGCCGACAACAAAAACCAAATCACAAAACCTTAAACATCGTCGGAATGCCTATTCGCGCGTAATGATGTTGGCTTTTGATAAAACCAATCAAACAATAACGCTAATCGTTATTCTTGTAATTCGCTAAACCGCACGAACATTTCAGACAATTGGATGATCCAATTGTTCACGCATCACCATCACGTCCCATCCCCACACCACTCGACCAACAATCGTAACGGGCTAATTTTCGAACACTGTTTTCCAGTATCACACACCTCGAGCTTCGATGGGAGTCTGATTAATGGCTCCACGGACCCGGATAGCTGTCAACTGAATTCGTCGTCGGTGACGGCAAGCAGCGAGAAATCCTTCATCCAGCAGCGCGTGGAGCGACTATACGGCCCAGGTGCACTTGCGCAAGGCTTCTTCTTTAAGCGCAGCGGCGCCAACAAGCTGGACTCGAGCGACACCTCCAACAAATCTAGTAATAACAATAATACCTCCTTAGACGATACGACTGCGGAAGAGTCTCTTAAGAGTCTGCCCGTGCTGAGACACCTGCGACCGGAGTTCCGCGCGCAGCTGCCGGTCGTTAGCCCGAGGAGGCCCACCGACGGTACCGAACAAATAATCAAACCACTGAAAAGGTACGGCATCATCGCTGCACATTGTCGCACATTGCCGCTCGCCTTACCGGGGAGCTCGTGATTAAGCGCCACCAAAGACTCTCGCCTCCCTCTATCGCTCCCTCCCCACCCCAGCCACCGTCACTCAACAAGTAAAGTTAACCATCTTGTCTTTATCCTAATCCGAACTGCAAGTATCCGTAGCTCTGGTAAGCCAAATCGACCAACTAACGAGTCGGCCGCTTTTACATAATTATCATTTAGTGTAATAATGCGTACTTATTGCGTAATTGGGGATCGGTCGGTCGATTTTACCATCCCAAGGATTGCCACGAATGGCTAAAAATTCTACTTATTTATCGACCGAGTTGCCGAGTATTAAGGATTTTAACAGTTCGTAATAATGTCTTCTAGGATTTCACTTACACCTGAAATAAACAATGCCAAAGAAACAACAATCAGTCTAATAAAGAAGGAAAGCAAAGCGACGATCGATTCGAAAATGACAGCGAGCGTAACGAGCCTGACAGATCAGCAACCCGCAGCTCCCAAAGTCGTTTTACCAGTTCTCGAGCCCAGTGCAAGCTTGACTAATATTCCAAAACATGGCGCTGAAACGCCCCATGAAGTTCAAGACAAAGACGGACATTATTTCATGAGTGTAAGTAAGGAACGACCGTTAATCATCGTTCGAATAAGAAAATTTAAATCAAAAGCTGTTTGATCATCAATCACTAATAAATATCACGCCTTTGCAGCTATTGAATAAAGAAAGAGAAAGACTGATTTCATTGGCCGTAGAAGTTGAATCGGAACTTTCCAGAAGTATACCATCGACTCTTCCAGAAGAAGCTGCTGGCAAGTTAAGGTCTGCTGCGGGAAAAGCAAGATTATTAGCATCACAGAAGATGAAACAATTTGAAGGACTATGTCAAAAAAATATCGTTAGTGGTCTTCTTTTTTCTTTTTTTTTTTTAATCTCTCTCTCTCTCTCTCTCTCTCTCTCTCTCTCTCTCTATCACTGTCTCATGTATCCTCTCACTGTACATACATTCATATATATATATTTGTAGAATCAAGTGCCTGGTGAGGAATTTCCAACAACAAGCGAGGATCTTGCAGGATTTTGGGATATGGTCATGCTACAAGTTGTCCAAGTCAATAATTTATTTGAACAAATCGATCGTTCAAGAAAGTTACAATGGCAAGAGGTGAGCGGCTCGTTGCATTCACTCAGTGCACATATAGCACGATGGAAAGATATTTATTGCAAACCTTCCTTCTTATTAATTATTGCATTAACATTCTCGTAAACTATAGTAAAAATCCAGTGGATAACCGGCCACGTTTTATAAAACTAATTCGACCTCGACGTTGCTTCTTTTTTTCTTCTTCTTCTTCTTCTTCTTCTTCTTCTTTTCATTTGTTAAATCGATAAACAAATTGTATATGAATAATCCTAAAACACAACATTTTCCACGGTAGGACGTAGCAGAAGAGCAGTCGCCGCCGGCAACACCGCAGAATGGCAACGCTACAAAACGACGTCCAACTCAAATTTCAAAAGTCAAATCGAGCACAAATAGCGAAGTGGCGCGTAAGGCGCGCGAGTCACGAGAACGACATCGACGACAATTGATCGAAGAAAGAAGACGCGCTATGCGATCAAACGCCAACAAGTCCGAGAATTCTGTGGAAATCTTCGTTCCGGAAACGTAACGAAAATCATCGTTATCTAAGCATAAATAAGGTTCTCCCCTCCCATGCGTTAAAATAATTTGATTATTAGAAATATCCTCGGATAATGCATAAATTTTCAAATGCTCGTCATCTCTTTGTCAATATCCGATACTCTAGACTTTACTAAGCATTCGAGAATTTACTAATGGCAAACTTTAGCAAATATTGTAAGTACGATTTACAGTTAATCCACTCAAACTAAATTGACATGCTGATAACTTGTAGCATTGGTAGTTAATAATAGTCATCGCAAGACATCGAGTTTTTTAGGCGAAAGATAATTTACCAGAAATTTTTTTAAGATTTAAATTAGACCTGTAAATATTTTTGATATGCAAAGACGTCACTATACATTTGGTCGAATCAAATTCTGATAATTTGATTCTCGCTTTATTGTATATTTTGTTCACATGATTATACGGAATACAATATTTATAATATTACAAAGAACTTTTCGTTTATTGAAATATGGCATTAATTTATTAGTACAGATATTTATATGTGCGTGTGTACATCATAACGCGAAGACTGGAGAAACAGTAAAATGAGACTGATCGTTTCTTCTATCGTGTAAAAAACTTTGATGCACCGCAATTGTAAATATTCATTCCACAGGCATTTGACCAACTCCATAAGATCTATCCTTTTTATGTCAATTTGGATGAATTCCTACTACTACTACTACTACTACTACTACTACTACTACTACTACTACTACTACTACTACTACTACTACTACTACTACTACTACTACTACTACTACTACTACTACTACTACTACTACTACTACTACTACTACTACTACTACTACTACTACTACTACTACTACTACTACTACTACTACTACTACTACTACTACTACTACTACTACTACTACTACTACTACTACTACTACTACTACTACTACTACTACTACTACTACTACTACTACTACTACTACTACTACTACTACTACTACTACTACTACTACTACTACTACTACTACTACTACTACTACTACTACTACTACTACTACTACTACTACTACTACTACTACTACTACTACTACTACTACTACTACTACTACTACTACTACTACTACTACTACTACTACTACTACTACTACTACTACTACTACTACTACTACTACTACTACTACTACTACTACTACTACTACTACTACTACTACTACTACTACTACTACTACTACTACTACTACTAACTACTACTATATCACTACTACTACTACTACTACTACTACTACAACCGCCACTACGACTACAACCGCTACTACTACACACTCCTACTACTTACCACTACTACTACTACTATTATTATCATTATCATTATTATTATTATTATTATTATTATTATTATTAATATTATTATCGTCGTCGTCATCATCAATCGTTATTATTGTCATAAATATAAATGATGGAGAGGACATTAAATGAACAATGTTTTAGAAGTACCTGTAGATATGACCACTTTTTTTTTTTTTTTTTTTTTTTTTTTTTTTTGTTCTTTTATTCAAGTCATATGATAATTGATTAATACTCATTGAATGGTCGGTGATAGGAAAGATTGTTTGATTTTATGCCATCTCGAGAGATAAATGTTATTATTTAATTATAAAGAAAATTGGGGGCAAATGATTTTCCTTTTTTTTTCTATTTTTCTTTTTTTTTATTTTATTTTTAATGTTAAATTTGCAGACTCATCTATGTTTATGCATTGTAAAAAGTATCTACAATAGATTATTTGAACTCGACCAGTATGTAGATGTGCGAATGAATTTTGAAATTGTATATAAGAGCATGAAAAAAAAAAAAAAAAAAAGAAAAGAAAAGAAAAGAAAAAAGTAGAAATTGTACGAATTATTTTTTGCTAGTGCTCGGACTAGATTTTCATCTTTTCTATATTTACAGTAATACTTTTATCCGTTATCCATCGGTAGTAATTTATATTCAGATCTTTTCATATACTTTTATCTATACATTTGGTGTATGTACTCTTATCGATTACCGTTTTATGCAATCGCAATTTATTATCGTATATAATCAGTCATTTATCTATCTCATGAACTAAAACAATGATCATACACGAGAGCTTAATAGCTGTTTATTGAAAGGAGAAAATAAAATTTTTTTTTATTCATCATCCTAGATATTCTCATTCATCGAGTTACAAGATATTTATTTATTTAAAGTAATACAGATAAATAGAAGTTAGATCTCGTTAAAAAATGAGATCAGAACGCGCGATAATACTTTGTAAAATAGTATCTAAGACATATTTGTAATAAATTTTCGATCGGCATTAACCAAATTATAATAAAGTATTTCTTTATCCTCGTTTAATCCACTCTTTTCCAAGTCTATAAAAATTAGCTCTCACTGTCAATCATGATTTACCGATGTGGGATTTATCATGGAAAAAATATACTTGAATATTGTATCCTTGACAATCGAAGGGGATTTTGAAGTGGCCAATAGAATGAGTTAAAAGTTTTATTTTTAGCTTATTATTCCATTGTTTATTAAATATAATATAAAAAAGAATGTACATAACAGAAAATTGGTAGGGGGAGTGAGGATCGTGGAACTTACAATATACTCGGATAATAATAATACGTTTGTAGAGTACTTGTTGAGCACATCAATTGATAAGATTGCATAGGTAAATATAAATTTCCATTTCTCGAAATGCGGAACGCTAGAGTGTGCTTTGTTTTATTTCTTAATCGTTACGTTGATTTAGCGTATTTTGCGTGCGCCAGCCTAATGTATTAATTGTGTGTGTGTGTGTGTGTGTATATATATATATATATATACATATCGTATCTGTTTGTGTGTGTCTGTATGTGTAGATAATACTTGGAATTTATATAGGGAATGGGCCGTGGGGTCGTCGTCATTTGAAGTTTCCAAAAGCTTGAACCACGCTCATGCTAACTCTCAGTGCTCTTGCGAGTCCTTCCGCGCCACTTATTAAAATATTTCAGATCAGGCAAATGAGATTCTTGCCTTCGTTCATTTTGTCCTGAACCTTGTCGCTGGCCGTTGACTTTTCCGCCTGGCCACTAAAGATCGCGCAGGCGAACGTTAATGTGACACCGAATGCGGCACTGTAGAACGCCCAGCCTGCAAAAGATTTTATTTTTACCATATTCTTTCGCCTTGCAATTCTTACGATCTCTTACCTTTTTTATATACATACATATATATATATATATATATATATATATATATATAACAAATCATAGAAAGAAAAAAAATAATAATAATAAAATATCGCCAGTTAATGTTGCAATATTCAAGCTTTCTATAATATTTCCTTACCATTACTAATGATGAGAGTGAAAAAGTGATGTTGGTAATTTAGAGGGAAGTGAATTGATGGAATAGGACCGCCGAAAATATGCTAGGAAAAGTACAGACGACGATTGCGTTTACACTATAATAAATCGACACTTGCCAACGCCTGTAATGATACCAACGATATTCTAAGTTCCAAATAATTGATGTCCAAGATGGGCGTGTAATTTATTCAAATTTCACGAGCAATGAACAACAAACGGATAAATAATTTATCCATGTTGGGTAATGTCTAGGCTTATCGTCTGGGCGTTAGAAGTTTTATAATTCATTAGTTACGGATGATCGAGGCAATTAATAATAAACACGAAATGGCGAGATACGTACGTTTCAATTCGAGCTTGGGGTTTCAGATATTCAGCTTCGCGAATATATTATATATTTATAGTTACGAACGGAGGATGCGCAATTATTAGCTGTGGCGAATTCTGAATGGGACGTCGGTGATGTCTCGGTGAGTAAAACACGAGGCTCCGAGACATTTTTAGCGACCGCTTAAATACACCGAAATAAAAACGATGTAAGCGAGGGTCCCTAGCCACTCCCCCTCTCCTTCCAGTGTAAATGTCAAGCTATAAAGAGGATTTTTAATTTGATGGAATGAAAAATGTCTTACCTAGGGTGCAGTTAGCAAGATAAAAGGCATCCGCTTCTGTGCCACAAATTCTTTGTACCCTTTCTGCACCCCATCCAGCAGGATACAAGATCATCCCGAGTAAATAAATAATTCCTGTAATTGAATGAAAGAGTCATCGTCGGTGAATAATTTTGGGAATCACTGGAGTTACGTTAATCGTAGGAATATCAGACTTAAGCTTCAATTCGTTCAATTCGCACACACGTATAGTCGAGCCGCCAAAAAATGCTACGTTAAGGTACAAATGGGAAAAGTTTGGTCGAGCGCGTACGCAAAGGCATGGGAATTATTTATAAATATATATTGTTGGCATCGAGTCTAACAACAACGGTGCACAAATGAATTTGTTAAAAATTGCTAAAACCTTATGATGAACGATTAGTATTGAATAGTTAGGTTGGAAATTATTAATATACTGCCGATTATTTTGTATAGGCGTATAATTTGTCGTTGTTACGATAATTAAAATTGAAAATTTAAAGATGAAATTCAATTAGGGAATCGAGGTCATTTATGAAAAGCTTATTATACTTAATATTTTAAAAATAGTAATCCTGTGTATCATTATCATAAGCGTAGGAGAGTAGTAAAATAAACGTTAGCGGCCAATCAATTACTTTCTCTATCGTCGGGACACATCGAAGACATTGAGGGAAGCAATATTTTCCACGACACGCGTTTCGCGTATCTGGCAGCTGTGACATTATGAAAATCGTAATTATTAATGTAAAAAAGCCCGATAAAAGACCGATGAAACATGAGAATGGACAATGGCATAATGTCCTTGGCAATGTAATTTGTCAAGGCGATGGGCCAATCTCTCGATTAAAACTTTAAGCTCGCGTCGTCGTTGTTGTCGTCACTCGCAGTCGCCCAACCACGTGAATATTTTCGTCCTCGAAGAAACTCGCGCAGTCAAAATGATCTCACCGGCAATGGCCTGTGTGACACCGGCGAGGTTGAAAATGCTCTTGCCCCCGACGCTTTGCATGCAGCAGCCGAGGAGGGCGGCGACGACGGTGCAGCCCATGACGGTAAGGCCCAGGGCCATGAAGAATAGGGTCGCCTTCCAGCACTCGGGGAAGACCGTGGAGTCCGTGGCGAGACCCTCCATGTTGAAGTTGCCGCAGTGATTGCGGCCGAAGAGCCTTGTGCACCGATTATAGATGCCCACCGTCGGCGTATACAGCTCCGTCCCATTAGCTGAAATTCAAAAGCAAATCATCTTTATTTTCTAAGCCACCCTACCCCCACAACCACCACCACCACCATCGCCTTCAGCTTCTCATTATCTTTTATTAGCAATGGAGCGCGGGTTTGCTGTACGATGGTGGAGAGGAGGAGAAGGAGAAGGAGAAGGAGAAGGAGGAGGAGGAGGAGGAGGAGGAGGAGGGGGAGCTCGGGACGCAAGGTAACGTTGCGGGACCGATTATTTTCGATACTTTGTATTCTCCGAGTAATGGCGCTATTATCGCTATTATGCTGATTCGTCGATTATCCGTTAATTTATCTTTGCGGGGGTGTAAATGCCGGATCGGAGGTGAAAGAAAGGGACGAGCTGGAAAGCCGAATGAATGGCCGCGGTGCGTTTATTACACGGCGAAGATGTAAATAAAGGGTCCCGCGATTGAGACGAGAAACACCGAGAGGTGGACCACCACCACTGATGTCCACCGCTCATCCTTAAATCATGGCAATAAAGATCGCGGTTCGATTCGGATCGGTGTAACCGTGAGTAGGACGAAGAGCGAGCGTCCGGGCGTATAAAATAAAGGCGCACGAGAGGGGTGCCGAGCAGGAGGTGTCGAAAGATGAGTCTCTCCTCAAAAGTCTTCCAGTGCATTTGTCCTCCCCTTCACCTCGTGCTCGGTGGCAAGCGGCACGTAGCCGGCGGGACTTTACAAAGGCGTTTAATGTCTCACTAGTGTCAATCGTCCTCGGCGAGCTCACGAGCCATCTGGGAGTCATGACGGCCGATAAAACGGCTATAAACGCCAGGAGTGAGAGCAGCATCCAGGCAAGGCTATGCCCGGTCACTATCATGAAGAATCGGCACATCCCTCAAAGCTCCGCCAGCGTTCTCTGTCTCTGTAACAAAACCAATGGACGACAAGACGTTAAATGGTGACGTGACGAGGGTGTCTTCTTTAATCGAGAACTTGGCCAGCCAACGTCTAACGTCGAATGGGGGCTGACGACAAGACGAGGAAAAGCTCCGTTACCCCGTATCGTTAGTTTGCTTATGAACAGGCGCCCGTCCATGGGAAAGTTATGATGATAAGTTATCGTACTGGTTAAGGCGCCACTGGTTATTACGGCAATGTACGTACGTACCTCGACACCCGAGCAAATCAACCTCGAGCCTTTCGACTCGACTTCTCTCCCCTTATTCATCGCCAGAGCATTCGGCCATGGACCTCGTTATAAAATTCCCTGTATTGAGATCTCGGGTACGAGAGATGAACGCTCGTGGCTCTCTGTGTGCGTGCGCGCGCCACTAGGTTCGGCCGAAGGAGAGAGAAGTCAATCTTTAGGATATTTTTTTCTTTGCTGCGATAAATTTACGTCTTGCCTCCTCCCGTGACTTTCTTAGAATGTCAGGGAGTCGGTTGGTTTTTGCCGCTTCGACGCTTTTATTATTATGGAGTAGAGATCGTCGACACGTGTATGTGGCCCAAAATGCTCACAAGGTCGTATTGTAAGATCGCGCGCAGCCACACGAGGTTCGGTCGATGGGGATTGGGGTCGATTGTGTTTATTCGAAAAATCACTTCTCGGTATTGTGGAGGAGGGGATCGGTTTACATAATAAAGACCAGCCGCGAATACTATTCTAGGCTGTGATTAAATCGTATCACCAAATGTAAATATTTTTATAATAAAACGAGGATAATTTTAACCTGCTACTAATGCCGATCGATTATTGCCATGATCCTATCATCCGTGATCGATTCGCGACGGATGCGCGTCAAAATTGATCAAGTTATGCCGGCTTAACGCATATTTAATCGACTATTTTACTCAATTAATTAATCTTGAGCATTGTCTGATTTAAGATTCGAACGTCCGTTGTTCGTTATGATTCTTTAATATCTCCGTCAGATATTGGAAGCAAAGCTTCTTTATTAAATCGATCCTTTCTGCCTGTCGCATTTAAAGTTTCTTCTAGTCAAGATTAATGAAACAAGTACATGGGATAATTTTTACATTTGCTATTACGATCAGCGTGCCCAATTTTTCTAGGAAGTATCTCCAAACCATTTACATATCTTGTATAATCAATTTATTTACAATTTTGTCATTGTTTTTTTTTGTTTTTTTTTGTTTTTTTTTTGTTTTTTGTTTTTTTTTTGTTTTTCATTCCTTCTTTTATTAACGAGTGCATTTTGACGAATAAATATTCATTTTCATTTCTTTATTGTTTTATATTTCTTGTTGCGATAGCAGCATTGAAAATAAATCGCAATTATTTTAGATATATTGTTTAGTTAAGAAAAAAAAAAAAAATAAGTAAGCAAACAACAATTTCTCAAAGTATATAATTAAATTTGAGAAATTTGCGTATGATTATGAACGATGAAAATCCGTTAAGTCGGTACCAGTGCTCTTCTAATTGTGCAAAAAGACCTTCAGAACGGCATAATCTTGATTTCTTCTTTCTGTCTCTGTCTCTGTCTCTGTCTCTCTCTCTCTCTCTCTCTCTCTCTCGTCTCTCTCGTCTCTCATCGACGTTGTCGTTGTCCATGGCAAAACAAGCAAACGTGTCGCTCGAAAAAGAAGCGCAATAAATGAGTCAACCTGCTTTAATTGCAGTAACTCAATCGACCAGTAAAACCGGCGAGTTTACTTGTTGTAGATAGAAAGAATCGAATGGCAATTCCGTTGATTAAAACATAAATTTCACAAAACGTGCGGATAATTCAGTCCCCTCCAAGGGAATCTCTTCTTGAACATTATCACAATGAAATTTAGTGAAAGAGCCTTTCGATTAATTAATAGTAGGCGTATTCTCTGTCGACGTTAAACAATTATAAAATCAAATTATAACACAAAATTAAACAAGATATGTATTTTAATCGCATCACTTATTCGTTCGTGTTGGCGTGGTTTTTTTGTTTTGTTTTAGTTAACTAATTACCGATACATTGTGTAAAATTATGTTTATTACAATTTATTTGTTTTCATCGTTTGTCAATATTAATTATTAAATTGGCGATATACGTAAATTGTTTTCTATAATTGGTCGATTAGACGAATGAATTTTCGATTAAGATGAGGATCTATGTCCTCGTAATTTAGCCCTTTCTCGTTTATTCATACGCAATTTATCAATGAATGTTCAATAAAATATATCATGCTCGTAGAATTATCTTTTCTCCCGATTTACCACTTGACGCAGTTTCACACTGAATATTGCGCGATGTAAAGCCGGATGCATCCATACATGAACGGCTATATTAAGAAAAGAAGAAAAAAAAGATGGAATGGAATATAAGCGAATGAAAGCGAATGAAAGCAAAAAAGCAACATAACCGATTCTTCGCTTTGATTAAGTCGATCGTATATTTAACATCGCGCGAACGCGCCGAAATAAAAATATTGGGATGCGGCTACAATTGAAAGCGCCTTCAACTCAGCTCAATAACTTTATTATCGCTTAATACTTATGGGCTTTCAAGTAACTTTACAAAACAACGTCGAGGATCGATCCTTACATTACAACAATGATGCCTTTCATTAAATCCATCTCTCTCATCGTCGTCATCGTCGTCGTCGTCGTCGTCGTTTCAAGAAGCCTGCGCTCTGAATCCTTGCATCCCCCTCCCCCATCGCCAAAAGCCACGTTAAAAATTATGGGACCTCTTATCACCGAATGAAAACGGCTTAACATTGGGCTACATCCTGTTTTCACCTCGGCAATGAGGATCGAAAGTGCGACCGAAGCCCAACGGAAGCCCGAGACAATTCGCCCGTAAAGATCTGGAAAAGTATCGGCTCGTATGTTCTTCTTCGTTTATCGTGCCACGGAGACCTCCTCCTTCTACGCCCAAGCAACGAAGAAAGACGGACAAAGTCCAAAGTCCAAGATGGAAGGCTCATTTCTCGTCAGCTAATTCATGGCTCGGCGATTAATCACCGCCCGATCTCCATGGACTTCCTCCTTGGGCTTGGAAACTTATCTATCATTCATGCCGTGCGCGCCATGCTATTCTCGCGCGCGTTACTCTTATACACTCACCCCCCCCCCCCACTGCCACCATCATCGGACAAGCGTTATAAGGGGCCTTTGTTATGCGTAAGAAGCAAACGCGGCTTCGAGAACGACGCATTCTAAACACGACGAACAGTCAACGCGCAATAACACTACTGCAAAGGGGACTTGTACGCGCATGGGAGTAGCCCAACGAACTTTGGGGTGTCTGACATTTTTTCATGTTTATGGAAACGGCACGAAAGAGAGAGAGAGAGAGAGAGAGAGAGAGAGAGAGAGAAAATTTTCAGCACGCGATAACGAGTTTCCGAGTTTGTTATCGTCATCTCTCATTTAGAATACCGCGACAATAGCTTATGCTCGATTACGAGAATAGCCATCGCCCCGTAGACATTCAAAATCATGAATATTTTCAGAAGTTTGAAATATAAATTTGTCCCTCTGTTGTGACAGACCGTTGTAGAGCAATTTTACATGATAATTCCCATACGAATTTTCACACGCTTACGATAACGTCATCCCTTTATGCAATAATGCGTTATTAAATCGAGTTAATTGTAAGCGATAACTGTACAGCGGGTAAAGGCACTCTGAATTATCATTCACGATGTGAGAAATAAGTAATTTTTGTCCCCGTCTCGAAGGTCAACGAGTTGGAGAATTCCAAAGGAGAATTCCCGTCTTTGTAATCGGATTTCATTCCGGAACTTTGCTCCACTCTTCGCGCATTCAAGGTTTTTGCCCAACATGAACATATCAAATAGCAACCGCGACTGCATGGGATTAGCAAATTATTCGCATAATAAAGTCATAAAGCATGGATTTTTATAAAAACGGCGCCCAGATTTTCCCATCAAAGTTTAATCTTTTTCAATGATCAACGGTATTACATATACAAACGTGCACACACCCACATACGTATATAAACATATGCAAACCGAAGTTGCACCAAATTAATAAATACTCGGGGCAAAGTATACATTATGACGCTGCTGTGCATGTAAGAGCCCCCCCCCCCGTTGAGAGTTCATGGAATTAGCGAAGTGAATTTAGTCCAGAGAAAGTTAATAAAGACTGCGTTCGAAGCAAATATACATTATGACTGAAAATACAAAATCAAAACCGTCACGATTAAATGCCCATGTAGTGGTGGCATCATAAATCGATGTTGCTTTATATAATCGTCAATGTCGATGTCATAAGTTAAGTACCAGATATTTCTCGTAATCTTTATTCAAAGCTATAAGGAAATGTCTGTTTTCTCCGTTCTTTCATCCTGCACTTGCTCGTGCGCTAAAAATTTCAAAATTTTTTTAGATAATTTCATCCCCCTCGATCAACGATTATTCACGAATATTACGCTCACGCTCACGCAATAATGAGGACCAAATCCGTAAAAAGGAATTGCAAAAATGACTCGTATTCGTGGAGTCGCATCGAAGAAAAAAGTAAGCATAAGAAAAGAAAAGGAGAATTCCATTTCAAAGTATAATTGTGATTAATCAGACTAAGAGCCGCCGCGGTAATTCGAATAGCCACGAGGGAAATTTGAAGAGACGGACGTCGCTCGTCGGCCCGTAATTGTGAAAAACCGCCTGACGTCGCCGTTGTTGCTCATTTATCATCGGCGAGCGCGAAATCGTTCGCCCCATTGAAAAAATTCGCGTTATTGGGCCTCGTCGATCGTAGCCGACGATCGTCTCCCACGTCCTCTGGCGCATTAAAATTCCGAAGCTCGCGCTCGCCTCCTTCTCCTCTGTCCATCCACTTCTCGCACGTGCCAAGTCAACCTCCAACGATGGCGATATTGCCAACAGACGCAATCCTCCTCCTCCTTCACCTTTTTCTCCTTCTCTTCATTATAGTCGTCGTCGTCG